ATTGAATATCTAATCCAAAGTTACTACTACACACTCTCGAGCTTTATCCCCTTCCCATGGCGTCTTCCGCCGCTTCTCCTTCCTTATCTATACTCTCTTTCACATCGAAACCACCGTCTTCCTCCGTCACCACGCAGCGGCTCTATGCTTCATTCAGAACAGACGGTGGTTTCGCGCCTTTAACACTCAAATCCCGTCGCGGCCGTGGTATCATCGTCAGAGTAGACGACGTCGATGCCGACGGAGGTGGACCGGACGAGTACGACATGGATGACGAAGAAGTGGAGGAAGTAGACAACAAGAAGGACTACGACGTCGAGTACGATCCCTTGGCTGCCGCGATGGCGGCTGCAGGCGGTGGCGGTGACGGAGATATAGCTTTTGTGCAGAGCAAGAGCTTTATATCGACACAGGGATGGGATTCGGAGATGGTGGTTGATTATCGGATAAACGAAGAGGAATTCCATAAAATCAGGTTAATGGACTGCGATTTCTTTATCAGGAAACCGCCTGATCCAGATAACGATGTTTATGATTTCAGAGAGGTGCGTGAAATTCTCTGATTGAATTCCCAGTGTCTCAATTTTGCTCGTTTTTCAACTATGTATATAGACGGTGCTTTTTCTGTGGCTGTAGATGTATGTTACTCCTCCGGATACAGATATTTACTCAATTCCGAGAGTTCTTGCTCCAATGCCTCAAAAGGTTAATCATACCGGTTATTGTTTTTGGAATGCCTATGCTTTGTTCTGGAATTTCCTTTCGTTCAAACAGATAAATATGCTTTTCATATTGTGCTCACTTCACTCTCTACCTGGTAATTGTATCTGCACAGAGCTGCACAATTTTGCTATTGTTTGGAACTTCTACCAACACTGATAGACTGAAATTTTGAACAAATAAACTCAAAAAGGTTCCGTAAGAGCTTTTTCCACCACTTCGTATGATCAGAAACTTAGAATGTAGTGGCTGGTTGTTGTTTAGTCACTTTCCCTTTCATTCTGGCCAATTTTGCGTTTGATGTTTGTGCATGTTTTTACATCCAAGTTATAATTATCGGTAGTTTGGTTTGGTGCTAATAATAATGGCTGGCTTAATGATGTTACAAGTACAGTATATTCGATGTGCAATGAGTGACTATGGATGCTACAATGTCACTGAACCGCCTATTGATGCTCCTCGAGATCCACTGTACAAATCTGAGAGGGAGATATCCAAGGTACATATTGGACCATGTCCCATACGTTGATGTTTAAACAGGTCTTTGATGCAGGGAATATTAAGCAACATTTCTAACATGTATTAACAAGAAAGAACTTAGTTTTGATTTGGCAATATCTCTGAGAAAAACACCAGGAATTATGTTATCCAAAGCATCATGTCACTTGGAAACTGGTACTTAGTTTGGTTTAGTAGTTACAGTGTATGTTACAAATGTCTTCATCATTTCTATTCATTATGCAGGTTTTCTTGACAAAGCATTACCGTAACAGAAGATTAAACGACCCAGAATTTGTCCTAGATCTTGAAGAGATCTATGTTATTGATTCCAAGACAAAGTCAATCACCAGAGCCAGAGTTCTGGTATGGCTGATTGTTACCTTCCAATTTCTTATTAGGCATTATAAACAGGTTTTCGTTCCGAGCCGGAGCACATACCTCAACCCTATACCGTAGCCAATTGGGTGTTTTGATGTTCTAACTCTTAGCCGAATAGGTTTCATGCTAATACACTAATACTATGAAAGTTTATAATTATATTAGTGCTATATATGCTTCTAGGTCTGAATCACATAGCTTAAGTTGTGAATTCTTGAAATATCGTGTGTAGCTCAAAGCTGCTAAGACAATCTTCCTTCCCAAATTAAGGTTTAAATTGTTTCAGGTGACAGTTCCGGGAGGAAGAAAAAGGGATAGGAAGGATGACTTGCTCGTGATACGCGATAATGGAAATTCCTTTAAAATCATACACGTGGTAGCTTTCCATTTCCACACCCATTTCTTCTGGGAGTCATTTGTGTTCCTTCACCTAGCTTTACTCATCTTCTCTCTATGTTTATATATTTTCTTCTTTCAGGGTGAAAGAGATGACCCGACAACAGTTATAGAAAGGGAAGAGTGGAACAAGACCCGAGAAGATATGGAGAAACATCTCAGAAAACTACGGGACTTCAGTGTCTCAAATTGGTTCTAAAAAATCTCGAGAGATTCCACATGACAAGTCAGTAAAAAACAAAATTCTTCCTGGGATGGAATCCGAGAGCCGAAGATGTCAATGGTGGAAGGTAAAAGATGTGTTGTTCCATTGTAGAGAATGTTGTCTGACCTCAGGTACTTCAGTAGCAGCAGAGTTGAATGCGTTATTAGACGATATGGGGCTCTAAAAGAAGTGTTAGTAGATGCAATAGTTACATTCGATGACTGTAGAAGCTAGCTTATGGATTACTTGACAACAATTTTATAATCTGCCGTTGAGGTGTTTCAATTTTAATGGTATTGTGTTTCATTTAAGTTTTCTCTCTTAATATTGTTTGTAATGACTTGTTGGTCCTTACATAGGTTACTCGTGCTATGTTCTTAGCAATTCCAACTCATGTGGTTGATAGTGAGATAGAAAAAAAACAATCAATCCTAGAAAGTAGAAACATTAGGCTGTGACAATGGCGGAAAGTATGAGCTTATCTTTCACACTCGATCCCGAATCTCCCTATTATCTCGATCCAGATTATCAATCTGACTGTGCTATGGTTGACCAAGCAGAATCGATGATGAAGACCATGAAGAACCTACGAAGCAGGTCAATTTCTCTCTGTTCTTTAAATCCTAGTACTCTTCTTGGGCTGTTTTTGTATATCAATGTGACATAGAATCAAATTTAGGAGGCGGAACTTTGAATAGCATCTCTAAATTATCTCTAAATTCTCTAAACTTTCAAGAGCATACCAATTCAAGAGGAGTTATAAAAAGAGCAATTGATGATCTCTAAAGCATAAATGTTCTTCAAAGTCATGTTTGATACTCTGGTTTTTAAATGTTTAGGAGAACAAACAGGAGAGAAGCAACAACAAAATGATTTTATATATCAGAGCTGGACTAAGAAATATCAGCGGCCAGTTTCAATGTGCAACCTTGCTTCATTCTTGAGACTGTCATAGCCAGTGGTACTAGTATCACCTTCTGCTGATAAGATTTGAACATCTAGCAAGTGCTCAGTTTCTTCAGGATACAGATTCGACCATTGATGTTTGGTTTTTGCGACTCTCAAGGCCTCTAGCTTTGCAGCTACTTCCTTCATCTTTGGCCTTTCCTCTCCCGTCACTCTTGTACACTCAACAGCAATTTTTGCAGCTTCCTGGATCTCCCTCTTACTATCCTCGTTCATCAATTGCCCGTCAATAATTTCATGCAACCTATTTTCTTTCATGGCAGAAGCAAAGTAAGTCACTAGATGTTTTGAGGTCTGTGGCCTTTCAAAGCACAAAGCTTTTTGACCTGAGAGCAGTTCCATGAGGACTACCCCAAAGCTGTAAACATCGCTCTTCTCGTTCAGCAACCCTGTGTGGTAATATTCGGGGTCCAAGTAACCGAGAGTGCCTTGCACCATAGTTGTGAGCTGCTCTTTATCCATCGGTATCAACCTTGAAGCACCAAAATCGGCTACTTTTGCAGTTAAGTTTTCATCCAAGAGGATATTAGCAGTCTTGACATCACGGTGGATGATTGGAATAGATGCAGAGGAATGAAGATATGCGAGAGTTCCAGCGACTTCTATCGCTATCCTCAGGCGGTGTTCCCATGTAAGAGAAGAATCAAACAGGGAACCGTGCAAGTGATCGAAAAGAGTGCCACTGGTAATGAACTCGTAGACCAACAAGGGAACTTCAGTCTCTAGACAGCATCCCAAGAGCTTGACCACGTTCCTGTGGTTGATTTGCGAAAGCACGAGCACTTCGTTGATGAACTGCTCTACTTGGCTATTGTCTCCAAGCCGAGCTTTCTTTATAGCAACTATGGAATTGTCCGGCAATATCCCTTTGTAGACTGTTCCTTGCCCTCCCTGACCCAAGATTCTGCTTTCATCATAACCATTAGTTGCTTCCTTCATGCCTTCCTCAGTAAATATTTTGACATCGACATTCGATGGCCCTGCTCCTGAGAGTCGTTGTATCAACATGCCACCACCATTTTGCTCAAAGAATTGTTGTCGGAGCTTGGTGTTCTTTAGGTGCTTCCTTCTCTGTTGTATACAGCTAACTCCAAGCAGGAGGACCAAGAAGCCAATGGTGGTTCCTGATAACACATAGAGATGAATAGACTGAGTTGGTCTAGGAAACGATAAATCCTGAAACAATGATGAAAGCTTACCAAGAACAATTATAGTCCATCCAACGTCTTTACGCTTGCAGCTCTTAGTAATGGGATTTAAGGCGTAACCAGATGGGCACTTACAACGGAAGCTTCCAAGCGTGTTTATACAAGTGCTAGTAGCCAAACAGTTGTGTCTATGGATAGTATTACTAGTGGTACATTCATTGATGTCTAGCCCAAGGAGAAAAAACACAAAATATGAGGAAAACAATAATTACTCAAAAGGAAAACAGATTGAAAAGGAAGACAAGAAGAAGTACCTTGACAACTGTCTGAAAGGTATGGATTCCCCTCATAACCTTCAAAACATTTGCAGTTATACCCGGTTCCACTGGTAGAATTGAAACATGTGCTGTTCCCACCGCATAAGCTTGTGTTTCCAACTTGCTCGCATGTTTGTTTCCCAATAGACCAATCCAGTACCACAGGGAACTTAGTGACGTTCCGCATATTCTTTAGATCTTTCAAAGCATCATATTCAAAAGTACCATTTTCGGCGAGAAAGGCGTAGGTGCAAGGATTATACTGATGTAGAGAAGTCATATTCTCTAAGGCCAAGCGAGATGGGGCAGTTTGGAATCCATAGTTATCCAAAGGGACAGAGATGTCTGTTTTGCAACAACCTTCACCATTACATTCTCCATTTGCCTCCGGTTGAGAACTGCATAATGACATGCATCCAGTTGAGTGATTCCGCAATCCGTAAGTGCTCAGAAGTGCCACAGCGTTACAGCCTACTAAAGTAAACTTGTTGTTGGCAGAGAGAGATAAATTACCCAGGGTATAAGTATAGTAAAGAGAATCACTCAAATTTCCTTGGCTATTGTAGCAAGCGTATGAAATATTAACCCATACACGTAGCTCACCGCTATGAGAGATGTTGATCACTTTATTGTCACCAAAGATTAACTCATCTCTCTTGTTACATGTGATATTGAAACTAGGATCTCCAGCATAGTAACAACCCGGAGAAGTGCCGAATGGGTACTCAACTGCGAAGCCGCCACAACTAGTTTGACAATCCTTGCGAGGTTGCCCCTTGACCAGCTGCGTATAGGCAAGAGAGAAAAAAGCCACCAAGAACAAGAACAGACCCTGTAACTTCATCTTCTACCTCTCTTCTCTCTTTTTTTTTTTGTTACTCTATTGAGTTTACTCTCATCTCCTTAAGACTTTATTTTATAGGAAATAAACCTTTAAGTCTTGAGATGTTTCTCTTCACTCATTTTGGCAGACTTTCTATGTCCCAACGTCTTTATGGGTTTAACAGTGACTAGTTGGTCAACCTTCTTCGTCAACTTCAATTATTTTTCCTCTCTTCTTTGATCTTTCCTTGATATTACCAGGCAAGTTTACTTTGTTTCTTAACAGTTATTTCCTCCTAACAAAAAATCTAGATATGAAGATGTTGCAATAAGGCTCCTGATCACAAAATGCTCTGTTTTCTTTTGACGCTTTTATTGACAACAAAAACTAAGGTTCCTTTGGAGCCACAAATTTGAAGTATAAAAACATCTCAAAAACATTACTCCATTTTTCATTCTAAACTAAAGTAACTCTAGGATAAAATTCAATCTTTATTCCAATCACACTTCATTTTTTTCTTCTATTTTAGAAAAATATAGTGCAAGTAAATTCTCTTTCTACATAACTATTAATTTTGAGTAATACCTTTGCTCGGATCATATTGCCTTCCCTTAGGCACATTCATTACATGAACACAAAAAGTTAGTTGATTATTTATTCAGTCCTTAAGGTACCATCGCAACCACACAAGAATCAATCGACATTTTCTTTTGATTTTGATATAATTTCTTACAAATGTAATTATTAAGCAAAAAAAGTACCGTCCTCTTTGCTTTGTACGAACCAACTTTAATTAATTAGGTATTTGGATCGTGTTTTTGGGTCTGAACCATTGATGTGAAATGTGCCGAAAGATTGTTCTCTTTAATTAATTAGCAATTTGGATCGTGACCATAGCCATATAGCAAGTAATATGGAATCAGATTTTGAACCAAAATTTTGAATAACATCTCTAAATTTTTCTAATACAAGATGGGCATACCAATCAAGGGGAGAGAGTTATAAACATAGTAATTGATGAATTTACAAGGATCTTGTTGGGCATGGGCTCCACCAATTGTCATCTTTGAAGCCCATTTCCAACAAGGCCCA